ACCAGCTGTTCTCTTAAATGTCTCGGTCTGAAGTCATAAGCGGGTCAAGAAGCCTGCGTCACCCTGCGCCTAGGATTTAAAATGGCTGGGGTGCCCTGATCCGGTTCCCGTGTTGATCCATCGCATCTAATGCGTGGCTCATCGTGGCAGTAAGGGGGAAAATTAAATTTTGAGCGCTGCGCGCGATAACTACAATGGCCTAGTAGTGCCTAATCGTCCACTGTATATCAAATCTATACCATCTCTATGTAGTATTGATATAGAATCGAAGATTGTGTCCAACTGGGCACTATTGGGCCATTTTAAATATCGCGCGCAAATATTGGGTTATTTAAATAAGCTGTTTGGGACGCTAAATTAAACGTTCACCGCGTGGCAGTGAGGGGAGGGGGAGAAAATGTGATTTTGAACGTCGTCGTAGTTAGGTTCAAATGTCCACCAAGTAAAAGCAAGCTGAGGAGGCCATAGTACCTCATCCGCTTTCACAAATACGAACGTAGATTAATGTGACTCTGCTTAAAATCCGTGAGGTGAACTGATCCGATTCTGGCGCAGCTAACATTGTAGTATGACCTTCGGGGTTCACATTTTAGGAGAGGTTCTGTCAGATAAGTAGTATATACGGAGAGAGTTTTCCGTCGGGGAGTACACTGGAATCCGAAGCAATAAGGAAGAGTTCCTGTACCTCTTCAAATATACCCGCGCAACGATCTTACGACTGCTGTGCATTCCAGCAATTAGGTCTAAAATGCATAAACTCTCCATAGTAAAAAATCGATACTACGGCTATCTTTGAAGAAGGCATGTTTCCTTCTCGATATCATCCAGTGCAGATTGAATATTTCCATACTATAATGCCGGTGTTAGCTAAGCTCAGAGACCTGCCCGCGACAGTCACCGAATCTAGCCTACAAGGCCTTCGAACAGTAACTACTTCCATTATCAAAATGCACCACGTTTACTGAGTGGAAGTTAGCTTTCGGAGTAAGCGGAAAATCATACAGTAGTGCAAACTCTCGAGTTACAGTAAGTTGCCAAACTCATGCAATCCTACGATTTTTACAAGTAACTCCCTCTT